ATTTACAAGCTTCTGGGCTCGCAAAACGAGCAATAAAGAAAATTCCGGTGGCAAGGTTCAGGATGCGCAGGGGTGGTTCAGCCACTGAATGCTCGATTTGTCTTGGAGATTTTGTAAATGGAGAGAAGGTGAGAGTGTTGCCGGAATGTAACCATGAGTTTCATGTCAAGTGTGTAGATAAGTGGCTAAACGAACATGCATCATGCCCAAATTGTAGGAGGTCTCTTATTCCAACTAAGGTTGTTGATGGCGTAGACCAGGCCACCGTTAGGGCTGAGCAAGGTGGCATGTAGGCATGGTTTTGAATGTTGAAGGAAACTTCGAGATCTTTGGTTAGGTGTATTTCAAGTGAAACCATTTGTAAATATAGCTTGCAATATAGACCAACCAATTCAACTTCCAAAGCAAACTTAATTAACTTGTGTATTTGATCACGAAGAGTTTTTCCAAATCATACCTACTTTTAATGCGGGGCTAGTTCATTTGGTAGAGTCTTTGTCCTCTTAGATTGGAGGTCACGGATTCTTCTAATTTTGATTCTAATTTTGACGTAGGTAAATCTTAATATCTTGGTGTGATACTAACTTTTAACTAACTACAGATTAGTGTTCAAAAAACTAAATATAAATAAACCTACTATTTTGGTGTTTTATTTTGTTTAAACCTAACTTTTTGTTTTTCAAAAAGTTCTGATATTTTACAACTTTTTCGTTTTTTGGCTCATTTATCTGGCTTGCAGGTAATTCAAAAAATATCTCGTATGATCTAGTTTATATTAAAAAAATCATCATTTAAAAGGTTTTGAAAACCATTTACTGTCATCAGTAAAATCCCAAAATATCAAGCTTTAGCATGCAAAATAGGTTGTTAAATGTACATACCGGGGATATAGTAATCAATAAAAGAGATTAGGATGATGTTTGTTTTTTTGTAAAAAACATTTTCTTACCACTTATGTTGTACGGTGTAGCACACGAACAACACTTTTAATTTCGCAACAGTTTGTTTTTTAAATGGCCTCGGGTTCAAAAACCTCTTCCCGTCCTCTACCCCATACAGCAATGGGCTTTGCTCTTCTCATCTCATCCTAATCTAATCTGAAAAAAGCGGACAACACAAATCGCCCATAACCGTTCTCGTTCGTTCTCATGGTCTTCTTTCGTTCTTCACGTATCCCCAAATTTAATTCAAAACTTCTTTAAAATTGAAAAAACTCCATTTTGAAAAGAAAAAAAAAACAATGCAAAAGGTAAACAGAATATTATAGCATCATAGACATCATGAAAAGCTTAATAGAGACACCATTTTATAACTATGCAATGTATGATATGTAATTAAAACACAAAACCCTAAATCCTTTAAGTTTATAAACTCAATGTTCATCGTCTCTTAAGAGACTCTCAAGGTACAAGATACGTCCTAATGGAATTACCAAATGTCAATCCTCAATGGAATATTGGAGTATTGGTGTCTCTAAAAATACTATGTTTCATTTATACTCCATTGGTTGATTCTCATTTTATTTTTAAACTTATATTTTTAAAGGGCTTAGACTATTAAAACACGTATAACAATCATAACTCTTTCATACGACGTTCGTTCTCGACTATTTTTATATCGACAGGTTCATATTCACGAGATCTTCAACTCTTATTTGGATTGTTTTGACTAACAATCAACTGATCTTAATTTCGATTTCAGCGTTGCGCGTTACCATATTGAACTTCAAAAAAATCAAACTTTCTCATATGAAATCTAATTTAGGTGTTCTCTATATGCACGTTCTTGTTTTTTTACGATTTTCAATTAGATCACTAAGGCTAATAAACAACCTATCTCTGATTCACTTTTTACGAAACGCTTTGTCGTATAAAGTTGAACACAAGATTTCAAACAAGTTATAACTTCTCCATACGAAGTCAGATTCGAACTTTCTATATATCTATGAAACCAGTATTGACGTTTACTACATGTTTATGATGATTACTTTGGCTAAAAAGTAATATATTTGTACTTTGAATTTTAAAAACATACGTTTATATTAAATCCTACTGAATGGTGAAAACGGGGTGTTACAACTCTCCCCTACTTACAAAGATTTTGCCCTATAAATCCCACTCCTAGCACACCTAGATGTCATCTTATTGGAGTTATCGAGATCAACTCATGATCTAGCCTATGTTGTCGTAATGATTTCGCATATATATATATATATATATATATATATATATATATATATATATATATATATATATATATATATATATATATATATATATCTAAATTGTATAAGTGGCTATTCTACCGTAGTCAAACTACCAGCAACAACGACAGTTGTTGGATTCACTCCATCCTTCTTGTTTCTCTAGGATAATCACCTTGTCATGTTCTAAATGTCCTTTTAACGATCCTCCTAACACTTCTAAATCACTTGGGTGCAAGCGTACGAAAGACACTTGTATGTGCCTCTATATACTGGCTACACTGATTACAGCTTCCCTACTCTCTTGCGCGAGAATCAATTGGTCTGAACATATTCGCTGATGGTGGTGCTTAAATTTACACATGTTTCTACATCCTCCGGTAGACCTTCAATCCCAACTCTTGACTCACACACTCAACTTCCAATGGACACGCATACGTTCCTTCTGTTAGAACATGAAAAGTGATCCTTATGCAATCCGAGGTGAAGCTATTTTGATACTGAAGAAAGTTCGAGATTGAAGAGAATTCAGAAGATAAGAGATATGAGTTTAAAGTTAAGAGATAGAAGTGGAATGGAGCTTGTCAAGCTCCTTATTATGTACTGAAGTAATTCTTATTTTCTTGTTATGGTTTGTATGATGCTCAATGGTAACACTCAATATTTTAATTGTAAATGTTTTTGTGGGTTCGAGTTTTTGTTGAATATGAGTTAATCCACGAAATGATTTTATAACCATAGCTTTTAAAAAGTTATGAAAAATTTGGGGTGTTACATCTATATTAGCATGTGTTAAATCCCTTATTTGTTTTTGTTAATCTAAATATCCATAGTTGGTCAAGTCAATGTGAATGTTGGTTTATATATATATATATATATATATATATATATATATATATATATATATATATATATATATATATAAAGCAAAATTCACATATATTCATGGTGGATGAATGTATGCTTTACCCACATCAAGATCTCACCTCATGGATCACATCATTTAGGGAATCTTGAATAAGAAGTTGAGCATTTTTTATCCTTCTATAAACTAATAAACAATAGAGCCGAAAGATTGATAGGGTTTTGTTATTGACTAAAGTATGAATAAAAAGAAGGGAAAATACAAATATAAATAAGAAGAGTATGTATGGTTAATGTAGCTAAAAGGCTAAGTAAAAGCCTTAAACAAAATAAGCCCAATAAGTTGATTAAGATACCCCCCCCCCCCCCCCCCCCCCCTTTGTTAGATAAAAATGAAAATGAGAAGCAGAAAAAGTAAAAGCCTTAAACAAAATAAGCCCAATAAGTTGATTAAGATACCCCCCCCCCCCCTTTGTTAGATAAAAATGAAAATGAGAAGCAGAAAAAGCTTTTGTAAACATATCAACAATCAACAATGTTGATGAAACATGGTCTCATGCTGAAAGTGATGATGAGTGAAATAATAATCAATCTCAAAATGTTTCGTTCATTCATAAAAAAAAAAAATATATTGGTAATCAATATCGCGTTGGTGTTGTCGTCACAAGCAAGGGTGAGAAATGTAAACATATATATATATATATATATATATATATATATATATATATATATATATATATATATATATATATATATATATGCAAGAAGCCAACATAGCCAAATAATCTCACAAGTGGTAGCAACCATAGCTCGATGTTCAACCTCTGTTGAAGATTGAGAGACAATATTATGTTTCTAACTCTTCCATGAAATCAACGAATCTCCAAGAAAGATACAAAAGCTAATGGTGGATTTTCGACGATGAGGATCACTATTCCAATCAGAATCACTATAAACACACATACTAAAAGAGGATGTAGAAGAAAACACAAGGTTGGCGAACTGAATGTCTAGAAGATATCTCGAGATACAAAAAATATTGACATGTTGAACTGTTGGGAGATCCATATATATATATATATATATATATATAATATATATATATATATATATATATATATATATATATATATATATATATATATTTGGTTAATTACTGTTGTCCTTTCCACAACTTAGAGTCAGATGCATATAATGTGAAAGATATAAACAATTTATTATAGTATTATACATGAGACTACACTAAGAGATATAAATTAAGGGGTGTTTGATATTTGATTTTTAACCAAAAAAAAATCATTTTTAAACAAAATAAAATTTTGACTTACAGTTTTTTTCAAAATGAATTTTTAAAATGTGTTTGGATTAACTTTTGAGAAAGCAAAAACCAAAAAGCAAAAAGTCACCAAATATTATCATCTTTTCTTCTTGCCAAAAAGTATATCTAAAAAGATTTTTGAAATTGCCAAATATCTTTTTAAACTTTTGGCAATTTTGAAATAACCAAAAGTCCAAAAAATCATTTTCAAAAGCTATCTCAAACACCCTCTAAAGTTTAGTTCAAAACGATGATATATAAAGAATGGTTTAGGTCATTTTTGGTCATTTTATTTTTTGTTTTGTGCTTATTTGGTCACTTAACTCTTTTTATGTTTTAAAAGGTCATCAAACTTTTGACTTTATGCCCATTTAGTCATTTAACTTTTAGATTTACGCTCATTTAGTCACATAACTTTTAAAATTATGCTCATTTAGTCACTAAAACTTTGAAATTTTTTAAAAGTTGAGGGACTAAATGAGCACAAAGTTAAAAATTAAGTGTCTTTTTAAAAATTAAAAAAAGTTAAGCGATCAAATAAAAGCAAAACCAAAAGTTAAGTGACCTACACCCTATAAAAAAGAACAAATCAATAACTTTAAATGAAAAGTTTGTGAATTCGAGGTTTTGAATTGAAAATATCCAAAATTACAAGGTGCTTTCTACCATTTACCAAAAACAAAATCAAGAAACCAAACGCAAACACCAGTAACAAAAACCCCTCTTATCCAAGCATCGAGTCCTCGAGTTCAAGTCGGTTTTGGACCTCGCAGATGATGTTTTCTGGGTGAAAAACGACTGGAAATTCGACTATAATTTTAAACACCCGCTCACAAATAATCGCTCTAGCAAAATCCCAAAGTTATGGCGAGTATGATGGCATTCAAGTTGTCGCCTTTCTCATCCAGTGTTCCACCAACGCCTGCACATTCTTCAATTTCGTTTTCATCGAACAAATTCTTTCTTCCAATGAAGCTTTCTTCACGGCGTCCTACATTCCCAAGTACAAATTCTATCTTTCTATCAATATGTGTAATTGGGGGTTTCAGTTCATGCATTTCAATTACGAAAACCTGTCTTTTCAAAATGCTAACAAGGGTTTTGCAGAACCTCTATTCAAATACTTGTTTCACCGAAGCACAATCGAATTGATGCACAATACCTTTCCTAATATGATTATATGTCGATTAGGGGTTGCCACTGTGATAATATTTATAGATTGAAGTTATTTATGAATATTGCAGGAATTTATGCATTTTCTAGCAATGATATTAAGGTGGGTTCGAACATTGAGGTAGATGGTACTCCATGGAAAGTTATAGGTATACCTTTCATTATTCCAACATCTAGTCGCTATAATTAGTATAATCACATTCAATTTCTTTTTCTTTTTTTCTTTCTTCGATTAAATCTACAGAGTTTCTTCATGTGAAGCCTGGAAAAGGGGCTGCTTATGTGAGGACTACACTTCGGAATCATCTCACAGGAAATTCTGTTGAGAAAACTTTCAGAGCTGGAAGCAAGGTAAATCTCAAAGACTCTTCACAATAAGATCAAAGTGATAGATGAATGATGTTTAAAAAGTATTTGAGAAATCAACAACAAAATTGGGAAATGGAATGAGGGCGAATTTGTAATTTATGCTTAATCTATTTCTTATGCTTTTGTTAGATCGAACAAGCAGAGATCTCTAAGGAGACAAAACAGTTTACATACAAGGATGGTCCACAGTATGTCTTCATGGATCTGGTATTTTGAATATATTTATATTTTTCAAATCTTGTATTTCAAAAATTGTTTTTTTTTAATTCTTTTTAGTTTTGGCAAATTTTATTCAGACATCATACGAGGAAGTTCGTCTGAATGAGTCAGATATGGGAGATAAGACAAAGTGGCTTAAAGAAGGCATGGATTGCATTTTGCTTTTTTGGAAAGGAAAGGTATCAAAATTGTAACATACGCCTACCAATTTTTTAAATTAAAGTTTAATAAATTTATTATAATTAAAGTTTAATAAATTTATAAATTATAATATATTAATGTTATCGAGTGTGTTCAGGTTATAGATTTTGAGCTTCCGATTCAAGTTAAGGTGACTGTAGTTGAGGTTGATCCTGGGTTGAAAGGTGACACGGCTCAAGGTATTCATATTTCATCCTATTTATAAAAGAGTTAATTTCCAGAAATACCCTTAACTGATCGATAAAAAAAGACATTTTGTGGAATAAAAACAATAACATATGTGATTTTTTTAATTTTGATTTTTTTTGTAAATGAAATTGTTGTAGGAGGAACAAAACCAGCCACTGTGGAAACGGGTGCTGTTGTTAATGTTCCTTTGTTTGTGGAGAGAGGTCAAGTGATTGTTGTGGATACAAGGACTGGGCAGTATGTGAGTCGTGTATGAATGGATTTTTTTTGTGTAGAAAAGTTTTGGTCAACAATGTCTGATTGAGTTTCTAATTTGTATCAAAGCTTTAGATTCTAGAAGGGCATGTTAGTAATTTCATTGGGAGAGAGTTTTGTTGTTATATATATGAATCTCGAATGTACACTCTTCGGATAAACCAGGTATGAGTATGTACGTGGTAAAAGTTGTTTTAGAAATATTATTTTACTAAAGACTTGTGTCCTTAGTAAACGTATTTTGAATAATAATTATAGAGTAAAAATATGTATTCGAAAATTTTCTAGTAGTTGCCAAAATGTATTTTGTAGGCATATACTAATGATAAGGCAAAAGCAACATTTACCTTGAGCAATGAATTCAATAAAACTTTTATCTAATATTGATCTTGGCAAAATTTATTTAAGGGCGTTTTATCTTTTTTTTTTTCTTAATTTATATGATAATGTTGTTTTTGGATGAAATATACAAAACCATATTTCAGTTCATGCTAGGCGTAACATTTTTTCTGTAATGTGTTGAAACATGGTTACATTTTCTTATTTTTTCTTAATTATATGAACCATGTAAATCCTTATTTTCTTTTTTTTTTCTTCCATAGTTTATCGTTATCTTTAATCTAACGTTTAACCCTACTGAAAATGTCTACTTTATAGTTCCAACTTTTACTTACCAAATTCATACTTCAATATAAACCAAAACCCTTCATTGGTCTTACCTTAAAATTCTTAAAGATCGTGTAAAAATAAAAGAACTTTAGAATCTAAAACTAATAAAAGAAACATATGTCCGCTTAACTAATAGAAACAAACACTTAACTAATATATCTTTCAGAAAACGATTAACAATAATATCCGCTAGAGGTGTAGATTTTATATAAACTACTGGTGGTAGCTGATTAACTTGTAATCCAGGCAATTCTAGTGATACCTGATCAGTTTTAGTGTCCATGAGTGCACTTGCGGGTTGTAATGATGATGAATTGATGATGATGATGATACTTCAACTATATATATATAGCCTGTTTGATTGCATGCATTAATTCACAGGTTGTAGTTAATTTAAGCAATTTTGTTAATACAGTGAATCAACCGAAAAGGTTTTGAACAAAATATATGAAACTTTTACGTTAAAGCATACTGATTAGAACTTACAGTAGAAAATCAATGCAGAAACTTGAGCTAAAATGGCCGAATGAATAGTGTTTATATACAAATCGTAATTACTTTTGCTTCCTTTTTGCACGCAGCTCCTCGGTCTTTAAATGTTGCACACCTTTAGTACTTAAACTCTTTCTTTCTTTCATTTAGCTTTAATCATTATATATCATTGATTCATCTGGCTTTTTCATTTTTAGTGTTGGCATATAAACGTACAAAATAAATACCAAAGTACCAAACAACTTTGTTATATACCATATACCAATATTTCAACACATTACATGCATCGACCTTAACCATGAAATAGATTTATCATAACTAATTTGTTACATAAATAGTTGATAACCCGCGCTTATAGATTTTGTAAAAACATCAACATTCCGATCCATAGTACAACACATTATCAAATTGATTTAGTCACTTTGACATTTCTAATTTTCTTTAAGATGATACACCTTCAGGAACATTTACTTGCCATGATTTTGTCAAGGTTAATTGTTTGTGATGGTGGAGGTGTTCTGGTGGTGCAAAGTCTGAGTTCTTCAGCAAGATGCATGGACCTGACTTCATCAAACGAAGGGATTGGTTTGTTGTGGCGGATGAATCCGACAGTAGTATCGAATTTATTGGACAATCCGCTAACTGCATGAATAACCACATGTTTTTCTTTTACTTTCTCGCCAATCCCCTCCAGAAGATCTGCAATTTTCTTGATTTTGTTGAAGTAGTCGTGAATAGATAGCTCTCCCATTGTGAGTGTTCTTAATTCGTTTTCTAATTGAATGGCAGTGGCATCATTGTTTTGACGGAAGATGGCTTCAATGTTGAGCCAAATCTTGTGTGCAGTGGCATTGACAATGTGAGCAGAGGTAATAAGAGACTGAGAAATAGAACCGAATAGCCAAAGCTTTACAAGTTGGTCCAGATTTTGCCATTGTGAATCAGTTGGAGGTTGGTTAGGTGCATCATGGGTACTGTCAATGTGATCGAGGACCTCGAAGGCGGTGCAATGGGCTGTGAAAAGGTCTCGCCATGGGTCATAGTTGTGAGTGGTTTGATCAAGGATGAACGAGACATATGTTTTTATGTTGTTACAGCATATGCCTTGGTAGGAGGAGTAGGAGGCGTGAGATGTTCATCACCAGCCATTAGGGCTTGCATAGGGAAGAAGATGATAGAAAGGAAAGGATCAATTTGAAGAACGAAAGGCATAGATTTTAGGAGGGTGAAGAATAAGTCTCTGATACCATGTTAAGGTAAAGATTCTTGTTGCCTCCAACATATACAATACAGGAATACATATACACAAAATACACAAGCCATGGGCCTAATACAATACATGAGAACATGGGCTATACAAACTAATATACATGAATAAACTAACAGTTTGCTCACATTGTTTGATATGTTTACTTGAGTGTGAATTGTCTGTTTGGGTAAATGTTATTGTAGTTCAACTACGTTGTAGCTTTTGGTTTAAATGGTCTCTTTTGATTTTTTTAGCTTTTAAGGGGTACTAAGTGTTATTTGACTGGCTATATAGGTCCGTTTACCTGTTTTAAAAAGTTTTCCATACCAGACACAATCCGCATAAGCTACTCAATCAACTCGTTGTACATGTCATTGAGATGAAGTCGATTCTTTGCTTGGGCCCTATGGGGTTACTGTGGACCTAATGTTCTTAAAAGGAATGATATTTTCAAGCAAACCCTAAGTGTTAAGTATCTATAACTTCCCCACCATGACCCACCCCCAACCTAGAGTAGCTAGGTGGGGAAGTAAAATTAATCCTTATTCATACATAGGCTTCTCTGGTACGAAATGAGCCACATCAAAAAGACTCATTGCTCCAGCCCAAAATACGATTAATCCGACATGGTCATTATGAACCCCTAGTAGTTTACCGTATAAACTGATAAGTCGGGCGTTCCCAACCCACCAAGCGAAACCGGTGGTTTCTTGGTCACGACCAGCTAAATTTCCATTTCAGCCAAACCAAATCCGAAAAGCAGACAACTTTCGTTTTCACGATAATCACGAGATGGCTATCCCACCACCACAATCACCTGATTCATATCGATAAATTCTCGTGATAGGCTCACCTTTGAAAACTTTCACGCTATCTTTTGCGAATGTGGGGCACAAATTGTTGACAAGAAGATCAAAGTCGATCGAATGAAGGAGGAAACGAGTCATGATATGGTCATTACGAGGGTGGATTCACTCATTATGCAACGTAGCTTAGAGCGTATGGAGAAAAAGGTACGATCATTGGTTGTGTTGGTGATAGGAATGGCGGTGTTGATGTTTGGTTTCATGGTGGGCAAAGTTCACTATCTAATGAAGAAGTGATCTTTAGGTGTCGATGTGTTTCTTTTGATTAGGTATGGTTGTGTTTGTGTTTTTTATGTATTGATGTGTCTGTATTAGGGTTAATGTGTTATGTTGTTTAGTGGTGTCTTGTTTATTTTGTGATGGTGGAGGTTGAAGACATGTGTAAGCACAGACAGTTTTGTATAAACAATCTAAATGTAAACTTATTCATCGAAATGGAAACAATGACCTGATTAAAGTCAGGCTATGTTTTATATTATGTTATGAAATGTGTTTGTTTTAGATTAATATTAATTTAAAACATAAAATAAGGTTTTTTAAGACACTAACCCTCATTCAGTGTCGTTGGGGATAATTTCGTCCTTTCAACTTTTAGCCTCGAAAATATACATATGAGACTGCTATCTGGTCATTTTTATCCTCTTTTCTCTCTATTGTCCGTGTTTCTTTTCAAGTAACATTACGAAGATAAAGAGGTCAATGAAATCAATGGGATTTTCATGTGGATTTGATGCCATATTACGAACCTCAACTACTGAGTCCAATCCCGGACGACCCTTTTATGCTTGCCCCAAAAAGGTAATATTCGATTGCATTTTCCTTCAACTTCAACTGTAGCCCTAGACTTGAAAATGGTTATTTTCGTTTTCTTATCTTACTCGCAAATGTTTTATGTCAGGATCTCCATGATGGGTTTATATGTTGGGCAGACGAAGTGGACTCTACAACACAAGTGGTAAGGCAAAATTGATTGCAAGTTTGGTTAGGTCAAATAGGAAGCTTCACTTTGATGTTAGGAAGCTTAAAGTTTTGTTACTTCTTAGTTAGGTTGTTTTCTTTGTGATAACTGTTTACAAGTTGTAAGGGATTGGTATTGGTATTTACTTGTGATGTTTAATAAGTGAATTATGTGTCTGTAAACGTATTTCACGTTAATGAAAATTCCATTTCTTTTGATGTTTAGTAAGTACATTCTTTGGACCCACAAATACATACAATAATAGAGAACATGCACTTATTTGCACTACTAATGGGAACATGCATCAAATTAAAACCAAACACATCCATTACATTAAATATAGTCATATATTCAAACATGTAAATAACAACACACTTATTATTGTAACAACCAACTCTAGTACATAGCATGCATCAAACATCCAAACTTAAATCTAATATTATTCAACCATTATGACATAGTGATACAAAATGACACTTTTTCCATACTCAACAACCAAAGGCTAATATAAAGCAAAGGGCTTTTTCAGCTGGATCCAGAACGAATAGGAGATATATCGTTTATCACATGTATTGCCTTCTCCATTTTCCCCTTCAACCCTTTTACCTAGTATTTTCTTGATAATCCTTTCAGAAAGTTTCCTTTTTGTGTACCTTCTTTTCCTTTCTCTTCAGGTATTACATCTTCATTTGGTTTTGCTCCACTTATTCTTTCCCCTCCATTAGCATTTTTACTAGTTGATCTCTTTCTCTTCTTCACCTTGAGATTTTTAGGCTTCTCAACTTGAGGACATGTAACCTTGTTATTTCCAACTTCCTTACACAAATTACATAGAATTTTC